CTGCAATGACATGCTACATGGCAATGCACACTTGTTTTTACATCGTAAAAACCCATGTCTAGTTGTTGTTTGTGTTTTGGGAGAGGAGCTGGTTGGTTGAGGTGTATCTGTTTGATGATGATGATGATGATGATGATGATAGGCTGTTTCTGTCTGAATTCTTTAGGCTGAAGAGCAAACCCAAGTATCTGAACAAGACGTCAGTGCGTCCAGGTCTGAAGAACTGTGGAGACGTGAACTGCATCGGGAGAATACACACTTACCTGGAACTGATTGGAGCCATTAACTTCAACTGTGGTAACCCTGGAGCTTTATATCTGCTTTTGTTTTGAAGTTTTGCTTCCATGTGTGATGTTTCTGTGGTCTGCAGAACAAGCAGAGTATAATCGCCCTAAAGTGGTGGAGCGTTGCAAACAGAAGGAAGGTAAAGATGTGGTGGAGGCCTGTCAGCTGGCTCAGAGACTGCACAGCATGGTAGGTACCTGAAAACAGCAGACTCTGTCAGGCTGGCGCTAAGCTAACATCTGAGCTAACATCTGGTTGGTTGCAGCGGAGCAGGAAGAGRCGAGTGCGGGACATCTGGGGGAACTGGCGTGACGCAAAGGACCTGGAGGGGCAGACGTACGAGGTGTGGATTCTGTGACGTGAAAAGCTTTAACRTGTCAGAAGTGACATGAATGTTGGTTCTGATGCTCTGTGGACCTCCTGTTCCTCAGCATCTCAGCCCTGAAGAGCTGGCTCTGAGGAGGGAGCAGATGAAGAAGCATCCTAAACCCTACAAAATGTCCAGACTCCACAGGTTAGCTCGCTGCAAGTGTTAGAGTACAAGTACACATAAAATACTCACAGTACACATTCCGTCTGTCAGGTCTGTGGATCCGTTTCAGCTGATTCCCTGCAGGACGTTTGAAGACTCTGTTCAGGTGGGTGAAGCTCCGCCTTCTTTATTTTTATTTGTTTAATAGGGGTGTAACAATACGTGTACCCGTATCGAACAGTACTTTAGGTTCAGTACACACTTGTATGGAACAATACAGATATTTAAATTTATTTTATCAACTTGTCTTGTGAAGATGCTCTGTGTTGAAGGATCAGTGGATCTGTGTTCGACTACTCCACCTAGGCTGTATTTTTGAGCACAGATCCACTGAGAAACTTGCTGTTTCAGCAACATTTAATTTAAAAACTGTACTTTTGAGGTTAAACAAATGTTCATAATTAATTTAAATAAATTACAAGTTAAAAAAGGGGCATGGACATTTCTCTTTTTTGTATCGAAAAAATATCAAACCATAAGACTAAAGT